ATAGGTTCACCGTCTTCTCCAAGATCTGCTTGAGCTCCCGGTTCGTCAGCTCGGCCTGGCCACTGGTTTGAGGATGATAGGCCACGGACACCTTATGAGTTACACCATAGCGAGACAACAATTTATCAAACTGACCCTGGAAATGGGATCCTCGGTCGCTTATGATGGCTCTAGGTGTCCCGAACCGGGAGAATAGCTGCTTCAGAAAACCACAAACACGTCTAGCATCATTGGTGGGCAAAGCTTGCGCCTCAGCCCACCTAGAGACGTAGTCAACAGCAACAAGGATATATGTATTACCAAAGGATGGAGGGAAGGGCCCCATGAAGTCGATACCCCAGACATCAAAAATCTCACAAGTAATAAACACATTCTGGGGCATCTCATCACGGGCAGAGATGTTACCTGACCTCTGGCATCGGTCGCACCTGCGTGCGAAGGCGTCTGCGTCCTTGAAGAGCGTGGGCCAGTAGAAGCCTGACTGGAGCACCTTCCTCGCCGTGCGGTTTCCTCCGTGGTGACCAGCAGGTCCTTAATGACAGTGGGATAGAATGCCCTCCATCTCACTCTCCATAACACATCGACGGATGATCCCGTCGGCTCCGATCCTGAAGAGATGGGGGTCATCCCAGAAGTAGTACTTCAGGTCGGAGAAGAACTTCCTCTTGGCGTGAGTTGTCATCCCCTTGGGCAGCTGCTGGCCCACAAGATAATTTGCAAAATCAGAATACCAGGGGGTGACACTCTCCACCAGGCACATCATCAGCAGTCTCTCATCTGGAAAGGAGTCATTGATCTCCTCCTCGAGGTTGTCCGCAGGGGGTGCGTCCAACCGGGAGAGGTGATCGGCAGCAACATTCTCTGCTCCCTTCTTGTCCCGAATCTCAATGTCAAACTCCTGCAGCAGCAAGATCCATCGTATGAGCCTAGGCTTGGCATCAGCCTTGCTCACCAAGTATCGAATCGCGGAGTGATCAGTATACACAATCACATGGGACAAGACCAGATAAGGACAAAATTTATCAAAGGCAAACACCACCGCGAGCAGCTCTTTCTCCGTGGTGGTGTAGTTCTCATGGGCATCATTCAAGGTCTTCGAGGCGTAGTAGATAGGTCGGAAATGCTGATCACGCCTCTGCCACAACACAGCTCCAACAGCAAAGTCACTGGCATCGCACATAATCTCAAATGGTAAGGACCAGTCAGGAACAACCATGATAGGATCTTGTGTGAGCTTCTCCTTCAAGGTCGTGAAAGCCGTTGTGCATGCATCAGTGAACTGGAAGGGGGCATCCTTCTCTAGAAGCTTAGTTAGGGGCAGAGCAATCTTCGAGAAATCCTTGATGAACCGCCTGTAGAACCCTGCATGACCAAGAAAACTCCGGATCCCCTTAACAGATGTAGGAGGAGGCAGCTTGCTATGCCCTCTCGAACCATGAAGTGACACTTCTCCCAACTCAGTGCTAGGTTCGTTTCTTCACACCGTTTAAGGACAAGCTCCAGGTTATGGAGACAGTGAGAGAATGAGTCTCCATAAACCGAGAAATCGTCCATAAACACCTCCATAATCTCGCCGACCAGACGGTCAAAGATAGCGAGCATGCAGCGCTAAAAAGTAGCCGGGGCATTGCATAGCCCAAATGGGATCCTCCGGTATGCAAAGGTTCCGAAGGGGCAGGTGAAAGTGGTCTTCGCCTAGTCCTCCGGTGCAATAGGGATCTGGAAGTACCCGGACATCCCATCCAGGAAACAGTAGAACTCGTGCCCCGCCAGTCTCTCCAGAATCTGATCAATGAATGGTAGCGGGAAATGGTCCTTCCGAGTGGCGTCGTTGAGACGCCGGTAGTCAATGCAGACACGGTACCCAGTCACCGTGCGCATCGGGATCAGCTCATTCTTCTCGTTAGGCACCACAGTCATCCCACCCTTCTTGGGTACCACCTGGGTGGGACTGACCCACTCGCTGTCGGAAATGGCGAAGATGATCCCCGCGTCCAGCAGCTTCACGATCTCTGCCCGAACCACAGCCTCCAGGTTTGGTGTCAGTCTCCTCTGCGGCTGTCTCACTGGCCGCATCTCATCCTCCATCAGTATCCGGTGGGAGCAGAAAGAAGGGCTGATCCCTCGGATGTCTGTGATCTTCCATGCGAGAGCTCGCTCGTACCGCTTCAGCAAGGTCACCAGTCTGGTCTTCTGCTCGGGTGTGAGGGTCGAGCTGATGATGACTGGCAGCTTATTCCCCTCCCGGAGAAATGCATACTCCAAATGAGGAGGGAGGGGCTTAAGCTCCAGCTCTGGTGGTTCCTCCAAGGAAGTAGCGATGCGGGTGGAGGATGAGATCGGTTTGAACAGCCTGTCGCCCTCCAAGAAGGGGCCACTCTCCAACTCGGCCAACTGCTCCGCCAGCTGCGGCTCCTGCGATGCCTGCTCACCTAGCAAAATACAACGCTCAAGAACATCGTCAGTACCCGCACTCGTTATAGCGAGTGCGGTCTCAAAATCAGCAAGCATATCACAGTAATCTATGTCATCATGCAAATGAGAGTGTTTCCCATTCTCAGACACAGAAAAGGTCATCACCAGCACGCAGAATCAATTTACCACTATGCACATCAATAAGCGCCTTGGCGGTGGCGAGAAACGGTCTACCTAAAATCAAAGGTACATCCACATCCTCACTTATATCCAAAATAACAAAGTCAACAGGATATGTGAATGCACCCACATTAACAAGCAAGTCCTCAATGATACCCCTAGGATGCACGATAGAACGATCAGCTAACTGAATGCTCATCCTAGTAGTTCTAGGTTCACCTAGGCCTAGCTTCTTAAACAAATTATAAGGCATGACATTTATGCTAGCGCCTAGGTCCGCCAAGGACTTTCCTACATGCATGCTGCCAATAACAAGAGGGATAGTGAAACTCCCTGGGTCTTTTCGCTTCTCGGGCAGCTTGTTCTGCAGGATGGCAGAACACTCCTCGCTCAGCATCACTATCGAAAGATCCCCAAGTTTCTTCTTGTTGGTGAGGAGGTCCTTCATGAATTTGGCATACTTGGGCATCTTTGACAGTGCCTCCACGAACGGCATGCTGATGTTGACCTGCTTCAACATTGCCATGAACTTGGCAAACTCAGTCTCCAGCTTGTCTTTATGCAGGCGAGTGGGGAAAGGAAGCTGAGGTACATGCTCCTTAACCACTGGCTGTGGCTTGGGAGCAGGCGTTGTTGTGTCTTCCCCCACTTCTGCAGTATCAGCTGGAAGTGTTGAAGCAGGTAGTGGCTCATCTCGACTGGGCTGGGCAGGAGCAGCTAATGTGGTCTTGCCACTCCTGGTAGTGATGGCATCAAGCTGCTGGAGCTGGTTAGGATCACGAGGATTCGGAACAGTGGTGGCAGGCAAAGTCCCCGGTGCCCTGGTGGTGTTCTAGCGGGCCAAGATACCCACCTAGTTCTGCAGATCTTGCAAGATGGCACCCTGGTTCCTTTGACCTGCCTGAGTGCTAGTCATGAACGAAGCTAGAATATTTTCCAGCTTCGTCATGTGAGTATCTGGAACTGGGGCTGCAGCTGGCTCGGCAAACTGGCGCTGGGGCTGCTGGAATGGTTGCCCCTTCCTAGGCTGGTAGGGCTGTTGCTGTGGAACTGGGCCCTGTCGAGCCTGGAAGGGCTGCCTCTGCTGAAAGCCACCAGCTGGTGCTGGGAAACCAGGTGGCCTAGTGGTGGTGCTGTCCCAAGAGAAGTTGGGATGCTGGCGCCACCCCTCATTATATGTGTAGCTGTACGGGTCGAGGCGCCGAGCATTGGCGATGAAGTCCAACTGCTCTTGGGGAGTAGTAGACTCCCTCATAGCCTGGCAGTCTTCCACTAAGTGATTTGAGCTCTCACACCACTGACACTGAGCAACTGGATGTGTAGCCAAACCTCTGCCCGGAATAAGACTGTTGGGCTGCTTCAATGTCTGCACTAGCTCAGCTACCTGCTGCTCGAGCCCGGATCTGGTCTCCATGGCGTGCACACCACGATCCCGGGAATGTCTGCCTCGGCTACCGTGTCCCCAAGAATGATCTTTGGCAGCCAAAGTACTGATCATCTGGTTCAGCTCGGGTGGAGTCTTAGTAAGAATATCCCCTCCTGTAGAAGTTCCCCACTGTGAATGCATCATTGAAGCCATGATGGGGACACTGCCACAAATAGCCCATGTACCGCTCCCAAGCATCACGAAGTGACTCATCTGGCTCTTGGCGGAAGTAAGTGATCTCACGCTGGATCTCTGTAGTCTTCGATGCCGGATAGTACCTATGCACGAACTTGTCAGCCAGATCGTCCCAAGAGATGATGGACAATGGGGGCTGGGTCTCCAACCACCTCTTAGCATTCCCCGCTAGAGAATGGGGGAAGAGATGAAGGCGGATTGCATCATCCGGGACACCATTCAGCTTGAACCCGTTCGTCAGCTGCAGAAAACGGGAAAGATGTACCCTGGCCTCCTCATCCTTCAAGCCATGGAACTGGATAGAGGATGTAATGAGCTGAATCCAGCATGGCTTGATCTCGAAGTTGTTTGCTGGAATAGGCGGGTAGAGGATGACCGGGCGGATGTCAGCAATCCGCGGAGTGTAGTAGTAATCCAAGGTGAGACCCGGCGGCGGGTGATGATGATGAACCCCATGATCCTGGGGTATGGGGTTGTTCCCCAGGACCTGATTCACCGGGGGAGCCTGCTGAGGATTCCCCTGGTGTTGATTGTAGTCTTCCATCTCGTACTCCTCCTCAGAATCACGGCTCACGTGGCCGTCTATGCGCTCTTCCGTAGCCAGTCTAGCCCATTGTTGTCTCCTGAGTTGGCGACAGCCGACAGGTGCGTTCAATCTCTGGATTCAACGGCAATAAATCTCCCGACTGGCTACGGGTCATGCACTACCTGCACACAATCAAGCAAGCAAACCCGTGAAGGCACAAGTGGGACAGAGCAAACAAAGCAAAAAGAAAAGCTAAATTAACAGAAATTACTTTTCTTCAACAACCTAGCCGTCCCCGGCAGCGGCGCCAAAAACTTGACTCACTTCTACTGTCACCCTAGGAATTGGCCAAGTAAAACCACTTCCTAAAGCGTAGTATAGCGGGTTTAGGTTTAATTATCAACCCGGGTCCTAGATTTGATGACTACTCAGTGAATTCTTGTTATCTAGCAATGAAACTGGAATGCAAGTCTAAACTACCAAACAAACAAAGCAAACAAACGGTTGTATTCAAGTTAAGAGAGGTCACCCGGACATGGTTCCCCCTAGACTGCAGTTAAGCCGGATTGTTATTACCAAGTTCAGTTTCTATGATAGTTATACTGCGGAAGGTTCTTAAACAGCCCGAAGTCTCGACTAAAGTTCTTCAGACCCTCTCAATCTGAGTCTCTAGCGGGCGACTAACCTCCACCGGAGTAAACAGATTGAGGCCTTAACAAACAAAACCTCCACTACCAGAGTAAATCAGGTACAGAATAGTGAGTTGGCTCCTCGAATAAAGTCACCAACTCCCTACCTTCAATCAAGGATGCTCTATCAACCTATGCAGATATTCTCATTCTAGGTTAAAGCAGAAACAACAGGAATTTGATCAGGATTCAAGTCATTCAATCATTCAACCCTCAATCGAATATAATCAATCATAGAATCAGTACTTGGGTTCATACAATCAAAGCCTAACATACAAATCTAGGGTTCTCCATACCCAGATGAATGGGAGAACTACTCCAAGGAGAAAAAAACAAAAGCAGAATCAGACGCGGAATTCATACTGTGAAGGATGGATTCCTGCTTCTGGACGTTGATCGGCACTTCTCCAAGCTCAAACTGGCCTCCAATGGTGTTGAAGATCAATCTAGGGCACTTGGAGACTCTTGTCCGTCGCTTTCTCTCTCTAGGAATCGTTCTCTCTCTCAAAAACTCGAATCCCCTTGACTTGTGGCTGAAAATCTGCTTAAAAGCAGAAAATCCCGACTCACACGGCCAGGGTTGCACGGCCGTGTGGCTTACCCAGTTGCCCGTGTGAGTCAAAACGCTGCGTTCCAATTAGTTCGATCTTCAGGCTTCTCACACGACCAGGGTCGCACGGCCGTGTGAGATTTCCATCTGCCCGTGTTTGCTCTCGGCGAAACCCGCACGGCCAAACCACTCCTTCACACGGCCGTGTGAACATCAGGACAAGCCGTGTTTGCTCTCGCACAATCTCACACGGCCAAAGTGGTCACTTGCACGGCCGTGTGAGTTGTGGGTGTGCCCGTGTGACCTCCTTTGTGACTTGTCTCGCGCCCGATCTTCGCCCAATCGACCCCGAACTCGCTCCTAAACTTCATTCACTTGCTAGGACCTGAAATATCACAAACAAGCACAACCTAGCGTGAAATCGGTCTAAAACACGAGAAACCACATCTCAAACGGTGTAAGAACAGGGGTGAAAACATGTGTAATTAATGGTCTATCATTAAGCGATTGAAGTAGGGGTACATGGACCGGCCTGGGTTGACAATTTAAATACTTGCCTTATACTGCCCCCGGCTAGAGTTTAAAAACTTGGGCTCTTGTTGGGATTAATTTGTGGTGTAGTTTTCTGCGAGACACCGAGATATCCATCTTTGGAAATGATCTCTAAAGTACTTGATCAATCTGCTCTACGAGAAGCCTCAAGTGATAGTTTGGATCTGGCTGAGGGAGGAATTCTTCTTGATAAGGAGATTGTTCTTGAAATGACCAAGGGTCTAATTGTTCTTCATAGAAGAGTGGTTGGTATTGAAACCCGAATCCATAGTCTTCTACTCCTTGATTGCTCCAGGAAATCTCGGGGTAATACCAACCGGATGGTGGTTAATACCCCCAATGGTTGGAGAAGCCATGAGGATCCATGTTTCAAATCTGCACCAACAAAAACAAAACACCCAAGTGAAAAGCAAGGGTGGAAAGGAAAAGAAAAACGCTAAAGTAACAAACTTCTACCTTTCCTAATAATCTAGAAAGTCCCCGGCAACGGCACGAAAAACTTGACTCGCTAAAACACAACTCCTTACAATGGCCAAGAGTAACCAATGAAAGGGGTTGCATTATAGTGACACAAGTAATAAATATCAAATCCACGGGTCTCTAGATTTACTATTACCCAGCTTCAATTCATTATCTAGCAAAATAGATTAAGGATTGATTTACTAAACTACTCTACTAACTACTCTACTAATTACAGGTTGGGAACTCACTTAGGTATGATTCCCCCTAGCTCCACATTTAGGCCCACGTTGTAATTTCCTTTGGTTGTTTTACTGTTGATTAGACTGCGGAAGATCCGAAAGTAGCATGGAATCTCTTAAGCTGACCAAACCCTCCTAGACAGATTATCCGGCAGGCGACTAGCCTTCATCGAGTTGGATTCTAAGGCGATTCACACAGATCTCCACTACTTGGAACGAATTCCAGTACAAAGGAGTTAATTTATTGACTCTCGCACAATCAGTTCACTACTATCAATCAAGGAAGCTCTCTTAACCTAATTAGATTCTATCTATCATAGGATAAAGCAAAAATCAAAATAATATGATCAAGATCCAATTGACTCAACAAATCATGCCTTAATTGATTAAAATCAAACGATATAGCACCCAAAAGTTCATACAAGAAAGATCCTAACACATGGAACAAGGGTTCCTCAAAACCTAAGTGAAAGGAAATTACTCCATAGAGAAGAGGGAGAATGCCGAAATCTGATCTAGATCTTCAATTTCCATCTCCAAGCTTGATTCCCGAGCTCCAATGGCAAAGAAATCCTCCAAAATAGCTCCAAGAATGTACCCAAGTTGCTCTCTCTCACTCCATGGTCGTCCCTTGGGTGTTTGGGATCCAAAAACCCAGCTCTCTCTCTCAAAAATCGCAGACAAAGGACTTACACCCGAGTAGGGTGCAGAAACACGGTCGTGTTTCTGCCCTGCCCGTGTTTCTTCTCGGCAATAAAACATTGGCACGGGAGGGAAAAACATGGCCATGTTTCTCCTGCCCGTGTTTCTTCCTCCGAACATGTTCTACTATATTTGATGCTTTGTTTCTCCCTCGTCCGGACTCTGAATTAGTCGTCGTTTGATCCCAGACGCTCGTAGTCTAGTCCCCTTTCTTTTCATGACAAGCTTGCATGATTCTTTGTCCATAAATGAGGTTTAAATCCTGATTTGGGCATAATTGTACATGTTTTGCCCCCGTTTTCCTTAGTAATTTGTGGCAATTGTGCTCCTAAAATGGTGGTTTTGCGCTAGGTTTCTCGTGTTTTAGCGTATTTCAGGATTTAATAGGTGAAACCAGCCCCAAAGTCGAAAGTTGGACGAAAAGGAGCAAAAACCGGGAGAAGAGGTGAAACACGGATAGTTAACGGTTTTCCTTGGCTATTCACGATGTTGTATGAACGTGAAGAAGAGCCGTTGGCCGTGAAGTTTGAGGCGTCTAGAGCCAAAATGCAAGTTAATGACGCTAATTGAGTTCACGGTCGCTAAGACCGTGAACAGGAGTTGTTGGCCGTGAAGACGTGGAAGCAAAACGGTCCATTTCGACGCCCATCTTCAGTTCACGGACGCACTTTGGAGTTCAAGGCTGTGAACTGAGATCGTTCACTGTTTCAAAGCTGAGCTGAAAGGAAGAGAGAAGGGAGAGCCCATTGTGTGAGAAAGCCTTCTTCAGATTTTTAGAGAGAGAAAGACGAACCAAAGGATAAGGAGGCTAGGGAGATTAGAAGTGGAATTTGGGAAGACTCTCCTCAAGAGAAGTTGAGCACAAGTGTCTAGAAGATTCGAAGCCTCCTTCAAGATGGTTTCTACATCTTCTCCTTGTGTTTGTCTCATCTCTAGCATTGAGTAGATTTCTCTTCACTTGGGTGTTGTGAAACCCTAACTAGCTACCATGTAGTTTCTTTTATGTGAATTGAATGATTGTCATTGGTTATTGTCTAATTCAATGATTGAGGTATTATTCATATTGATTGTGCATGCTTGTGCTTAGCAATCTAAGGGTTGTGCATGTTTTGTGCTTAGCATCCTTAGATTTGTGCATGTTGGTGCTTAGCAACCTAAGGATTGTGCATAATTGTGCTTAGCATCCTTAGGTTTGTGCATGTTGGTGCTTACCAATCTAATTAGCCACTTTAACCTATATAAGAGAGGAAATTCCCCCATCCAAGGGAGACTCAATCGAGTTGGTTTTCCTTTAGCTTTTTTAAGCCACCTAACTAGGTTAATTTAGGGCGCACCTCAATGTTGAATTAAGCAAGTTGGTTAAGCGTGATTAAGCCGTCCAACCCGTGAGTTGAGTGAGGGAGAAAGTCAACCATCAATTGCCTAAACCGAGAGGGCCGAGTGGCACGGCCTGTAATGTATACCTCAGGTTTAGCAACCAGAGTGTGGTCTACGATCATATTTGCATCCCTCTGCGGTTCGCGGTTACCTTGCCCATAGCAATCGTTTCAATTCACATAACATGGTAGTAGTTAGGGGGAAGCAACACCCGAGTGATCCTTCTCACAAAGAGCTTTCAAATGACTGAAGTAGGGGTACACGGACCGGCCCGGGTTGATATTTAAACATACTTATCCTGTACTGCATCCGGCTAAGGTTTATACTTGGTCCTTAGGCGGGAAATTATTATGGTATTCGGAACGAGTCAAATCCATTCTTCTTCAGGTCATGCCCGAGTTTATTCTCCCGAATCTCCAATTGATCTCCGATTGACTTGAAACTTGCACCTATGCTTCACTTTACATGCTAGGACCTGAAATGTGGCAAAGGAACACAACCTAGTGTAAAATAGGCCAAAGTATGATAAACACCAAGCTAAACAATCAAGGAATGAGGGGTAAAAACATGTGCAAATTCAGTGTTATATGATAGTAGAAGTCCCTCAACCTTGTTGTGTCGTGAGAGCTATTTTGGAAGATAGTGGAACACTCCTCACTGAGTAATGAGCATGACCAAGGAAAGATCGCTCAGTTTCTTCTCAAACTCCACCTCAAGGTGATACTTGTGCAATAGAGTGGGAAAAGGGAGTTAAGGTTTCTACTCATCCACAACTGGCGTAGGTTTTGCCTTCTAAGCCTCAACTTCATTCTCTTGCTCAAGCTCTTTCCCAAGTTCCGGTGGAGGAGTCTCCACCTCTTCATGGCGATCACCTTAGAGGTGCGTCTTGGGTTACCTTCCCACTTGAGAGAGATATAGGATGGAAACCCTCCTTGTGATCTTTATGATTGGAAACTTTGTGTCCGAGAAGAGTCTTTGGAGGTCTGGCAGTAAGGGCTTCAATAAGATTCTCTATATGGGTCTCCAGATTGTGAAGGGAAACTTAATGATTTTGCAACCCAGCCTTTATGGGGGAGAACCTTTTAGTAGCCACCTCCGTAAATTTATCAATGGCACCAAAATTTTGGGAGATTGAGCTAACAAAGGATGTAACAAGGTCCTCCAACTAAGAGAGCTTCACGACTTACAGGTGAGAAGGACATGCTCCACCTTATGGTTGGTAAAGTTGTTGATAGTTTTGAGGCTGGTAAGATGGTCCCTGCTACTGGGTAAAGGGCCTCTGCCGGCCTGCCGTTGGTGCCTAAAATGTTGGAGGCCTCTGATTGGTTGGAGAAGCCCACGAGAATTTGGGGTGACAGCCTTCTAGTGCATGGTTGGTGCTCGTGCATCAATCTTTTTCAGGATCTCATCAATCTTTGAATTGAGAGAAAGTCGAGAATCAGTTGCATGTATACCTCTCTCCCTCGAGTTATTGCTCCTCCTTAGGATACCCCAGTCATATTCTCTAGCCGCCATCTCCTCAAACAACTACGCCATCTGAGGTGAGGTCTTGTTCAGCATTCCCCTTGGAAGAAGGAGTCTATGATCTGTTGATCCTCTTGAAATATCCTATTGTAGAATGTGCCACCTTGAAATGATCATCGAAGCCATAGTGGGAACGCTTGAAAAACAAACCAGAGTACTTCTTCAAAGAATCACGGAGAATCTCATCATCCTCCTGAGAAAAGTGGGTGATTTGCATCCTTAACTACATAATATTGGAAGGAAGGTAGTACCAAGCCATGAATTTCTCCAATAGGTTGGTCTTGGAGGTAATGGAAATTGGCGGTTTATTTTCTAGCCACGATCTTGCTCGTCTGCTCAAGGAGAAAGGAAACAAACATTACCGAGCGCATCTTGTGGCACCCCGTTCACCTTGATCCTTTCACTGAGCTTCAAGAGCTGATTAATGTGATCTCTTGGTTCTTCATTTTGAAGCCCATTGAGCTAGATACTGTTACGAATTATGGAGATCATGCTGATTTTGATATCAAAGCTATTTGCAGGGATTGGTGGATATTGCATATATGGCCAGATATCATTGACCCTGGGAGTCAAATTTCCTAGGTTTGTGCATGTTGGTGCTTAGCAATCTAATTAGACACTTTAACCTAGATTAGAAAGGAAAATTCCCCTTTCAAGGGAGACTCAATCGAGTTGGTAACCCTTTAGCTTTTTAAGTCACCTAACTAGGTTAATTTAGGGCAAACCTCAATGTTGAATTAAGCAAATTGGTTAAGCGAGATTAAGTCGTTCAGCCATTGAGTTGAGTGAGGGAGTAAGTCAAACACCGATTGCCTAAACAGAGAGGGCCGAGTGGCATTGCCTATAATGTATACCTCGGTTTAGCAATCGAGACTGTGGTCTACGACCATATTTGCATCCCTCTGCGGTTCGAGGTTACCTTGCTCATAGCAATCGTTTCAATTCACATACCATGGTAATAGTTAGGGGGAAGCGACACCCGAGTGATCCTTCTCACAAAATGTTTTCAAAACCATTTACCTTTGCCTTATTTTATTTTAATTAGCAAACTTTACAACCCAAACTTTGTTGCTAGATAATGATTCAAATGAGTGAAATAGGGGTACACGGATCGGCCCGGGTTGATATTTAAACATAGTTATCTTGTACTGCACCAGGCTAAGTTTTATACTTGGACCTTAGGTGGGAATTTATTTTGGTATTCGGGACGAGTCAATAACCAAAGCAAGAAACACACGATATAACTCATAAGTAATGGTAATTGTCAAATAAAAGGAGCACAAAAGTTGCTTACAGTGCATATTTGACAAAGTCCTTAAAAGACTTACCAACAAGTAGCCTCCAGTCTGATCTTTGTGCATCATGTCTGTATTGCTACTAGCCTTAGGATTTGTCTTCCTTCTCCTTTTATTATGGCAAGCCAAACGTCTACGGCAACTTCTCTTCCCTTCATCAAATTCTTGCAGAACATGAAATCTGCAAGACAATCGACAAGTCACCTTGAAAATGTCAAGTCTATTCTACCTGAATTCTGCTTGATAATAATATAAGACTTTCTTATTCTGACAGTGTCATCAAATTTTTCTCAAATGATCCTTGCCAATGTAACCAACTAAGAGAAATTAGCAACAATTTTGAGGCTAGAAATACTTGCCTACTACACTGCTGACAGAAACGTTGCATAACATTTCCCACAAGGGCCTTGGTGGCCTTGGAATGCATCTCACTGACCTTGTGCCTCTTGTGGTAATCTTTAGCCTTACAGAGACCAGCACCACAGTCCTCCACCTGACAAACTGCATGACTTGAGCTAGCACTACCTGTCAACTTGGTCTTCTTCCTACTGTTTCCCTCGCAATTCCCCATCCCCCCTCTCCTGCAGGGAATCCATGTGCACCAAGCTTCAGGCTCAGAGTACCCGCTTCCTCCTGATCATTCAAGTTGTCATCTTCAATATCAATAACCCTCCTCTTTTCTGATTCCCTTTTTCCAGTCCGAATTTCCAGATGATTCACTTCATCTGAACAAGAGGACGAATTGTTGGAGGAATTTCCGATGCCGAGTGAAAAAACTGCTTGCCCATAGCAGTAGAAGGTACATAATTCAAAGGGCTAGCAATGAAAAGATCACCCTCCCATTTCCAATAATTCAAATCCCAATCCATGCTTCTTTTCCCCACTGCCCCCATATCCATGGCACTCATGCCATAAAAATGAGTAGCTTCCGCCCCAAATCTAGCTTCCATGGATTAATCCCTAGATTTCTGGAACTGGATCTTCAATTGGACAAAAGGAGATCTAAACGCAGAGAAGACGGAAAGAAGGAAGAGACCCACTGTAACCAACAGAGTTCGGATCTTCGAGGACAAAAAGACCTCCAAAAAGTCATGGCAATAGAAAGGCAAATTTTCACCAAATCAGCTTCACTTCTTCCCCAGAAGTCCAAAAACAATACAGCAACGCAGCCATGGTTCCAATTCAGAGTAATCCACATGCCCAGTTGAGTGGAGATCACCCAAACCCTTTTTCTGAAAGACTAGGATGAGAGCAGAAAAGTATCAAAACACATCATTCCATGTAACCCAAGAAATCAAAACCCAGTTAAATCACCAGACCACAAAAATTAGGTATCAGCTTTGACTTGACCTAATGAGTAGACAATGACCAGATCGCGGCGGCTTCTGAACGGAGAAGAGGAAAAGGGTTTTGGGGGTGAAGATGGATGAATTGATGATGATGCAGAACGTCGCTCAGTTGGTGGTGGGGGAGAATGGACTTCAGGGAGAGGGAGCGAATGAGAAAAAGAGGATGAGAGAGAATGAGGTGTGCCTACTGCCTAGGGTTGGGTAGGGGTGGGCACTAGGTTTGGTAAAACCGAACCGAACAAAAACCGACCGAAACCGAAATTCATATAAATATGTTCGAAATTCGGAAATGGATATGGCTAATTTCGGAACACAGAAGCGTTTGAACCGAACCGAAATACCAAACAAACCGACCGAATTCTGAAATATGTAAATTGCCCAAGCCCCCAACCCAATCCCATTGCCCAGCAGTGCCCCAGGCCCCAGCCCAATACTCGGCCCAACCTTATTTTCCCGCCTCACTCTTCAGGGCTCACTGCCTCACTGCTCAGGGCCTCAGACCCTCCTCCTCTATCTCTTCGCCCAATCCAAGACGACAAGACCAATAGTCCAACATCCAAAATTCCAACACCCTCTACCAGCTAATCCTAGAGAAAGACGATTCACGATTGCTTGCTGGTTGCCGCTGCCCCTGCCAAAATCGAACAACCCGACCTCGCAAAGGGAAAAGGAAGTAGGGAAGCTGGGAAGGAAAGGAAGAAGGAGGCAAGCCCGAGCCCCGAGCAGCCCGACCTCCAGTCTCCAGACCTCCACTCCACTCCTCGTGTACCCGTCCCGGCTCCAACCTCGTCGACAATCAGATCGCCGACTCCCACAGTCCCTCCCACCCAGGCAGCCTGCTACCAGTCGCCTCCAAAAAATGCAGCAGTCTGTTGTCTTGATTATTGTCCAAAAATGCAGCAGCCAATTATCCAAAAATGCAGCGACCAGAATATAGAACAAAAGCACACAAACGGATAGAACATACATTTTCGGTTTGGAGTATAAAACCGATCCGAACCGAGTTATAATTCGGTCGAGGGCAGCTGTGGTTCGGAAATTCGGGGTATGCCAGTTCGGTTCGGTTCAAACCAAACCGACCGAACGCCCACCCCTAGGGTTGGGTGTGGCGAGTGGCTAACATGGTTGTCCTCTTTGGCTGGAAGTTTGGTACTAATATTTGTGATATATACCGAATATCGTATCTAATTTATCACTATTTTATATTATTGAATACCGACTTATTTTTTAGGGATTCAGATTGGATTTATTTTGAAAAGTTAATCGGTATTCGGGATTACGAAATTGGGATTGGTATATATAGAAATACCGAGAAATACAAAATATTAAAAATGAATTAAATATAGCATACAACTTTTGGTCATTTCTCACTCTTTCACAACTTGAAGCCCATATCCAACTTAATTTTGACTTTCCAGTTTAAGTAACTCTTGTCTTGCGTCTAATATCTTGTTATTTTCATAACACCAAAAGGCAAACAATAGTATTAGTCGTCTCTCAACCTCCAATACGTCAAATTAAAGATTACCAATGTCAAGAATTTGAGATGTCACCTCTCCTCCATTCTCGTTATCCATATCCTAACTCTAGGCGAACTCAAGACTCTTTGTTTCGTCTTTTTGTTCTAAAGTAACAAATCAAATGTAATTTATATATTTAATTATGAATTGCCAAAGTAATTAATTTCTTATTGCATAATACCGATTGGGATACCGAAATAACAATTGGGATACTGAAATATTTAGGAATTGGGATACCGAAATTATTTAGGGATTGGGATTAATTTTAGTGTGTAATTTAGTACGTACTTTGTATTAATATAATGATACCGTACCGATTTCCACCCCTACTCTTAATGGCATGCCAAATGTGCTGAATTGTTATCCATTACAAAACTAGTTAAAATGTTTCTAATATTATTGGGATGATTGTTTCCGATTTTTAAACGAAAAATATGGTTCAAGAAAGCGTACTTTTACGTATGTCTTAGTGCCCTAGGCACTAAATAGTGACAAGCGCATCGTATATATAATAAGCATACAATTAGACATCATTATACTTAAGCAAAAATAGACACCATTAATCGATGTGAGGCGTGATTAATCGAAGTGAGTCACACTTAATTGAACTGGTAAACCAAGGATTAAAATATTTTGTAGATTTACCCAAAAAAAAAAAGGATTTGTAGTTAAAGTTCCTAAAACAACGTGACTCTAGCCGCTCTATATTCAACGCAATGCTTCACTCATTCTTGGAATTTGAAGTTCTAATTCTAGGTTCATGACTTATTTGGATTATTGTTGAGGGTTAGCTAAGTTATTAACTTCAGAAAATTGAAGTAAAGTAAAACCGTGCTATAAAATTGTTATTTCTACTAAAACCCGCTACTATTGCTCGAACACCTCGGCATCGCATAGGCAACGCTTAGGCGTGCTTGACGCTAGGTAGTGCCCTAACCTCTTGCCAACGCTCAACGCCTTCTTGAACATTGACAAAAATGACATCATTTTGGTAAATTTAATTAAACAAATAATTTTTAATTTATTTATTGAATTTGAAAATTAAATTTAAATGTTATTTATTGGATTTCAATATGAATATTGAAATTTTTATATTATTTGTTGAGAGTAATAGTGTAATACAACTAAAAATACCAACATTTTGTAACTTTGGCATTTGTGTTACGAAACTTTAATAATTACATAATAATAATCCAACATATTGACGGTCACCGTTATCTCTGTTACAAGTTTCTATGTTTGACTCTTAATGACCTTCGTCAACCTAAGCGCCACATCAGCAACAAATGTTAAAATTCAATTTTTCTTAGAGTGAAAAATTCCTCGAAAAATATAACAAAAAAAACCCTTCATTTACTAGGGACAACCTTCCCTTCTACAACCACAAACAACCTTCCCCTTATTGGCCATAGTCATCGCTCCACTTTTATAGCCTAGTCGGCGCCGCCATCAACTCTACTCCTCCTTATTGACCAGTCCGCTTGCTCCACCAAATTTCCATATACACCGCCATCAGGTGGTTGAATTCAAATTCTCGTCCAACTCTTGACTCATCCAACCACGGGCCACTGCCAGCGCATCTCATTCCCACCTCTCCCCTCGATCTCAAACTCCCCTTCGTCATCTTCCTCCATTGCATTTTAGGTTGAAACTTGTCAATGAGAGGATCGCAGTCTTAACTATTCTCTACCAGGACAGAGAAGTAGCGGTGGTAAAAACCCCCGAGGTGAAGATGGAATATGGTTTTTCGCCGTGCCGCTTCCACCGACAACCTAGATGGAGGAGAGGAAGGGGGTCATGGACTCATGATCGATGGTAAATTCCCTGCCAGTCAGTGTTGCAAACTCTCACCGCCGACAAATCCATTTGCCATTTCTGCAGATGCGTCGAATATTAATGATACTTGGGGTAGGGATCTGGAGGAGAAATCAAAAGTGCAGTCGATGGTTGGTCCGCGAGTAACACATTGCCGAGCAACTCGATCTCCGCCAACAGGAGGGCGAACGTCTCTCTACACTATGGCTTTCTGTGGTAAGTAAAGGGCTGGGATTTTGGGGATAATGAAAAAAAGAGGGAAATAATCTGTGCAAAGGATTTTGGGTGCAGATGAATTTATTTTTTGTATTTCTTGTTTTGTTGTTCGTCGGCGAATTGTCGCTTGGGAAAAGGGAGGGATTATTTTTATATTTATTTTTTAATTATAAAATTTCCACTTTAGCTACTATGTCATCGCTGACTATATTTCCTGTTAGTCTGTTATGAAAAACTTAATGGCTGGTATACAAATGTCATAATGAAAGTTTCGTAACACAAACGACAAAGTTTCTAAAGGTTTGTATTTTTAGTGGTATTAGCTATAGGTGTCAAAACATGATCCGACCCGAGTAACCCGCCCAACCAACCCGATCCGCGCCCCGCCCGCAACCCAATTGGACTAAAAGTCAAAGACCTGCAACCCGCCCGACCCGCAACCCGCTTGACCCGCAACCCACTTGGCCCGTAACCCAACTAACCCGAACCCGTCCGATTGGCACAAATAATACTACATAATATATTTTTGTGCATAAATATTATATGTAAATAATATATATAAAGTTTACTTGACTTGCCCTATTATTTTTTCATCTTTCCCACCAAGAACAAAGGTGTACTTTGTGTTGACAAATGACAACTGTCATTATATTGAATCACATAATAGTCTC